GTACAGCAGGACTTCAACTCCCAGAATTCCCCAGCCAGCATGAATTCTGGGAGTTGAAGTCCACACATCTTAAGGTCACTAAGGTTGAGAAACACTGGACAGGACTATACCTTTTGCATCTTGCTTATAGGCTGCTCAAAGCCGATAACTGGTCATTATGGAATGCTGGAACAGATGGAGTTTATCCAGCAAAGGCTCTTAATTTCTAGCTAACCATTTACCAAGATCTTGTTCTGGCCTTTTACAAATTTAGACAAAAGTAGAGATTTAAACTATGCAATCACCCCTTGTGTTCCTAACCCTCCTGGGAATTTCTGGATCCTGATAGTGCAGCAATGCCCAGTGATTGCCACATTTCTGAATGTTGACATGCAGAATGCTCTTTTCTTTTAGCAGTACAGCAGTATAGCTTGTCAAGCAATGTGTCACAGACCTATTTTCTAAGAGGAGGAATTTCTCTAAATGTATGTTAGGATTTATGACAGGGCTAATCCTCAATGTTTTCAAGAACAATCTATTAAGTAGATAAACTTAAACTTTGGCTGAAATTTGATGCATCTGAGAAATCTTCCAAGCTGAGATTGGAACATGAAGTTCTGTTGAATATTATTGTTTATTGTCCAAATAATCTACAGGAATCTAAATCACTTTTCTTTTCAACTCCAGTCAGCTTCATATAAACAATTGCTTAGTGGAGATTTTGGCATACTGAAATATTGTTCTGATGCCTTTCAAGTAAGACAATTAAATCTCATCATATGCAATATTGGCTTTGTTAAATGTTTGATTTTTTTTCTGTTTAATGACAATTGCATGATGTTATGATTTTATGTTGTTTTTATGGATATAAACTGCCAAGAGTCACTTTAAAGTTGGCAGTGTACAAATCACATACAAACTGTATAATTAAAAATTCAAATAAGATTCAGTGGCAATGACCAAGTTTGCATTGGATTCTCAATGAATTAGCATTGGTTAGGGAAATACCTTTGGTCCCCGAGATTAAGAAAATAAGGTCAGATACCTCACATTCATATTCAAAACTTTCTTTAGACATTTGGAACAGACAAAAACAATACTTGGCTCCTGAACTTTCTTTTCTTCTCCCATTACTTGATCATCCACCTTTTATCATAAGGATAAATGCTATGGAAGAAATGAGAATATAGTTTTTTAGAGGATTTGAGAGACTTAGCTATTGATGGAAACCTTGTTACGCTGAATACATTTTGCAAAACAGTTGGTCATAGCTTTTAACTTGGTTTCAAATGAGTCAAATTTGGTAATTCTTGTAGACACTAACTTCTTGTATAAATTGTAACTTGTTTACATGGTTAGATAAATTAAAACTTTAAATCCTGAAAGCTTTTTCAGAATTGTCAGCAAATTATTGCTATATAAGGTCAGACATGTAACTATGCATGCTTGGGTTGTGTACATTCCCAACTTCTTATTCCCCCATTGGTTTTTTTGTGCTATGTTCTTTTCCCTTGACTGTTTTTCTTCTAAGCACAATAGTTTTTGTCATGTTGTTTTGTTGTGCTCGCGCTCGTGTGCTCTCTCTCTCTCTCTCTCTCTCGTTAGTTACAGTTATAGTTTATCTGAGCATCCTAAAAGAAGGCAAAACAACACAGTGTCTGCCCTCTGGAACTTCATCCCCCGGAGATCTGTCTGGTTCCCACCATGATGATGTTCCAAAAGACATTGAAAATATGGCTGTTTTCCCAGGCTCTAGGGTAGGCTGGCTGAGGAGCCCCTGGAAGATTTTCTGCTGTTTTCTTTGGTTTTTCTGTTTGTGGAATCATATCCTTTGTTCTTTTATCATATTGTTCTGGCTTTTCATACCATAAAGCACCCTGAGCTGTTGGGGGTTGGGTATTTTTTAAATCTATGCCAATACATAAATAAACAAGAAAATGCCGAATGATATCTGAACTTTTGCATCCTCTTAGAATACCTGCTATGCTAATAAAAATGTTAGCTTCCATCATGATCAGGTCATTTAACCCTACAATGCTTTGGTAGTGCTCTGCTGTCATTTTAATGTGATTTGAATAAAAGAAACTATAGGTGAGGAGCTGAAACAACCCCAAATAAATTTCCCCCCCCCAAATTTTGATAACAAAATTTATGGGAATAGATCAAGGAAAGATCTTTACAGGACTTTCTAGGAAAGACTCTCCTTTCTTTGCCAAGATAGGATTCAAGCCACAAGATATCCAGGGTGGGTGAGAGGAACACAGGAACTAAGGATGGACCTTCCTAGTTGATCTCTTTGTAGTTCCACTGAAGCTATTCAGGCCAACAAGGGATAAGATACAGACGTCAGTTCAAAAACCCAGAAGAATCTGCTTACCCTGTGTGGATACTCTCCGCACTGACCCTGTGAAAAGAGAGGGATTAAAAAAGAAAATAGTTTAAATCATGTAACCCAAAATAGACTCAAAGAGATGGGGCCATAACAGGTGCATAGTTGTCAAGAATTCATTCATCTTGGTCGGGATAATGGTGGTTTACCCACCCTGGATACTGGCCTCTTATCAGAAAGAACATCTTGTACAATTGTTCTTGTACTGTTCAAAGTATTTATGGTTCAAAACTATTGGCCAATTCTTTTTTCTACAGTTAGTGTACTGTAACTGATCCTGTATTCAGGAACAAATGTGCCCATGGTTCTAGAACTGCCCTTTTAATGTATTCCTTTCCCTGCAATTAGTATTCTCTGACTTGGAGCGAGGAAATTTTACTGGAAATTTTTGCAGCTACAAAATGCATCAATGGAACTTCTGCCAATCCATTGGAAGCCATTCATTCCACTGGAGATGCACGATTTCCATTTGTTATCTCTTGCACCTGCCTGCTTTAGCTATACATTTTTAGTTTTAGGTTTTGGGGCTTTTTGTTTTTCTAATAACTGTTCTTACCTGTGTATATGGATCAAAAGGGCAGGTTATATTCTTTTTAAGCAATAACCATGGATACTGGGACTATTGATTCATGCATACAGGAAGAACCAGATTTCAGTTTTGAAAATATCTGTATTCTAATGTGACCTAAACTTTTACACACTATGTGTAAAATTTTACCTTTTCTCCTTTTTGTCCTGGGATCCCCTATTAAAAGAGAAAAAGAGAGGGGGGCAATGTTGAATACTTAATGGTGATAGACAATGTTGAAACTTGATATGATCAAAAAGCTTAGCATTAGCAGAAGTACTTATTCATTGACCTTTAGGACCATCTAGCCCAGGGTTCTTCAACCTTGGCGACTTGAAGATGTGTGGACTTCAACTCCCAGAATTCCCCAGCCAGCATGCTGCCGGGGGAATTCTGGGAGTTG